GTTTACTCTCCGTTTCTCAAGCCAATAGAAGTATGCACTTCTGCTTTAGCATACTATTAATATATCTGTGCGTATGAGGAACAATCATCATGAGTCAAAGTAACTTTTTGTTTAGTTATAATTGCCTCCTTTTGGTAACATTTTTGTTGATGTCTTCATTGTGTTTTTGTTTAGATCTATGTACGTAGCGCTTGGCAAATGAGACTATGCAGAGAAATACAAAAGCCAGGGGCAAACACACACACACACACACACACACACACACACACACACACACACACACACACACACACGCACACACACACAAACACATGCAAACAAACAAACACACACAAATAGACTAGTAGAGAAAAGCCAACCCTAGATTTGAGGAGCCGTGAGATAAAGATGTGTGACACTTGATATGCAATCATGCAGTGTGTTTTTCCCCACGAGCCTCTCGCGGGCCGACATGGGATAGTCCCATCGGGTAGGAGAAGAGTGGGGCAGGAGAAGGAAAACTCCCTGTCTAAGAGGTCGTGTCAGGGACAAATACTTCTTTTTTTCTGAGTCGACATCATACACTTACGAACAGCTACTTTTGATGTAATAAAAGAGGACAGGATAAGATAAAGATATGATTGTATCGTTTGTGGTTAGCGGTTATGATATTATTTTCAGTGTAGCTGCTTCTTATCATACTAGGTCAGGGCCATAGTTTAGAAGGGAGGATGTTTGATTGGTATTGTTGTTGCGCTATTGCAGTCACTGTTCACATTTATAAATCACATCAGCGTCTGTTGTGTAGCTGTTAGGTACTGGATTGGAAGGTAAAAAAGTTTACTTTAAAGATTAGGACATGGCGACTGACAAAATGGAAGCTAAATTAAACCAGGAGACTGATATTACAATAAGCTTAATTCAGGAATGTCTATGAAATAAATGATCCACATGTGTCTTATTGGACTTTATGTTCAAACAGACACTAACTTACCTTGTGGATTAGGAATCCTCGATGGCTTATCCCTGTCTTGATCGTGGTAAATGTACACTTCACTGTAACTTGAACTGTAGGAAAAAATATTTTGAACATAATCTTGACAAATAGGACAGAGAAATGGAAACACAAAGAGTGTATCTGAAAAAAAAATCTTTGCAGAGAAAAGATAATCTATCCTCCTCTGAGGATAATTTCGAATTGTCAGCGAAGCAAAGGCGATTTGTTCAAATATGATCACGAATAGCTACCCTTGGTCGTGTCCATATTTTTAAAATAACATAACAGTGACATTGAAAAACGGATATACATGTAAACACTGAATATGAGGTGTTTCCGCAAACTCCTATTTATCCCAATTAGAGATCATATAACCAATGAGGTACCTCGAACCAGAATAGGAAACGCCCACAGGCCGTATGAAGACCACTTGACTTCAGTGAGAAGACGTTACTAGAGCGGTACCGGCACGTTACAAGATCTCCTGGACTGGCCAAAACTATCCTACAGAGAACAGCAAAAGGAGGCAGCCGAGGAGACAGACACAGGAAAATGATGGGAAGACACCGTCAAAGAGTCACTTAAACATCATAGTACGGAGAGCTGACAAGAGCTAGGAGATGCAGGATCTGTTTGTAAAATATACAGTGCCCCCCCCCCTCCCCGTGGAAAAAAACAGGTGGTGGTGAGAATACGAACTGAAAGTTTGTTCTGTGGATACTCCTTGTGTCTGAGAAATATATTGATAACCAAAGAGAGAAAGTTTATTGAATGAATTTATTTTACAATACACTTCCATTGGCATTTTTGGGAACGTATGTTGAATAAAGAGTCATTCTATGTAAACCCAATTAAGGAGTTTGTAAATGAAATATATTATTATGAACCCGTACTTGTTTTTCGTAACCTGCATTGCTTCAAGAACTTATCAGATTCTTAGCCCCGTTCTATGAAAGGCAAGCATTTATCTGTTTACTCTTTATGCCACTGTAATGCCCGTTTTCTGACCTTACTGTTTCTTGAGGTGATTTTGAAAGAAAATGTGATCTTCACATTTGGCCTCTATTATATGTTTCAAACGAATATGCTTGATGATGTCTGGGTTACAAGTTTGAGACATCAACAGCCCAAGATGTACCATGTATAAGACATGCCTATTTGCTTGTGAGAGCGAAGACAAAATAACGAGATGAAAACGGAGAGGACGCCAAAATGTACAACAGCAAGATGGTACAAAATATTGTACAAGTCAACGGAAAATATGATGTGGTCCCAGAAATGTCAACTGTTTTGAGAAATGTGAACAGCAACAACAGAAAATGCTCTAGTGATCAATACCGATTAAGAAAATGAACAAAGCTTAATTTTTTTAAAAAATTGTTAATGAGTAATGCAAACTATACATTTTTAATGTAGGTGTTTCTACGCCCCCTTCGACACAATTTAGATAATCTAAGAGACCGTGGGGGGTGGGGTGGCGTTGGTGGCCTAGTGGTTAGGCAGGCGGACTCGTAATCGTGAGATTGCGGGTTGGGGGTTCGAGCGTCAGCTCGACCCGACGTTGTGCCCTTGGGAAAGGCACTTTGCACGAATTTCCGCTTGGCTCGGTCCTTTCGGAGACGGATGTTAAACTCGGAGGCCCCGCCTCTTAAATAACCTAATAGTGTTGATAGGGGCGTTAAACCTATACCATTTCACTTTTTAAAAAAAAGAAACGGGCTTCGACACTGCCTGTCGGGGACAATTCGGGCTGAAAGGGACATAAAGCCTCAGTAGAAAAACCAATATTCATACTCTTAAAAAATCAACAAAACTCTACACGAGAAGTGAACTCGGCTCTCCTACTTCACCAGAGGCGTCCGAAGCTAACTACAGATTACACGTATACCGTCAGTAGCATTTATTGACAATAATATGACAACAATATCCACAACAGTGCCAATTTCTGGAAGCGTCGAGGGTCTGGAGAAACTCACCTGGACTGAGTGGCATTGACGTAGCCCTCTGTGTCGACTGAGTAGAGACATATGAAGTCTCCCACGCACAGAAACTCTCCTTTTGTCTTTGGAATCATCTTGCCACCCTCAGTCACAAGTCTCTGCAATATAAATTATAATAAAGATAATAATAATAATAATAACAATAATAATGGTAATAATAATACTAATAATACTAATAATACTAATAATAATAATAATAATAATAATAATAATAATAATAATAATAATAATAATAATAATAATAACAACGATTATGATGATGACGATGACGATGACGATAACAATAACAATACCAATAACAAGAATGTAACGATAATAAAAACCATAACGATAGTAATATTTATTTTTATACAAACATAATAATATCAACGTAATAATAACACTATTAATATTTACAAAATATTACGAAGAAAAATAAAATAGAAGAGCGGGAAGAGGAGGGGCAGGAGAGAAGAAGAAGAAGAAGAAGAAGAAGAAGAAGAAGAAGAAGAAGAAGAAGAAGAAGAAGAAGAAGAAGAAGAAGAAGAAGAAGAAGAAGAAGAAGAAGAAGAAGAAGAAGAAGAAGAAGAAGAAGAGGGGGGGGAGGAGGAGGAGGAGGAGGAGGAGGAGGAGGAGGAGGAGGAGAAAAGGGAAAGATCCGAAAAAAAAGTAGACCAATGTAATGCATTTCGTCTGGCGGTCATGGAAAGAAGGATGAAACCGCCCCCTCCACACCCACTTCTTTTTTCCCCTCTTCTCCTGGCACACTGACGGGTGATAAATCGAGGCCGTAATGGTACCCAGCTTCCTTAGAATAAGCGATCTTTTTCGCCTGGGCGTGTTGTAAATTAGATGCAATGCTTGCATTATGGGTTATGCACCGAGGCAATGTCTTCTTTCTAGGGTCTTTATCACTTTAAGTGGAAGTGGTTTTTTTCCCCCCTATAAGCACGTTTCTTCGAAAACCTTTATCCAATATTCAATGGCGCGAACTTTAGTGCTGTACTGTTCTAACTTCTTTTTCCCCCGTTTTCGTGTAAATCGTTTTGCAAACATTGAATTCCAATTGAAAAAAAAAAAATTAAACTCGAGTTAGCACATTTAAAAAAAAATGGAATTCTCGGACCGCAGGCTTCAATAGAAATAATTTTGGGCTCAAAGGAGATAGGTTTTTTTTTTTTTAGCAGTCTTTACTGGTGTGCGAAAAACTCCGAAACATCAGAAATTAGAGTTAGTACCAGATAGCTCCCGACTACCTATGAGTAGCGATGATATCAAGGGCAGCAGGAAACGTAGAATATCGTTTATTTCCGTTTCACTTATCAGACTGTAGATAAAAGAGACACAATTCCAGGACTGTAGCAACCATCGGTTCAATATTATAGATAATGTACTTCTGCTTAAGGACGGTAAAAGGGAGCCAACGACTAAAGAATATTATGTGTCTGTGCGGGTGTGCGTGTATTGGGGTTTGTGTCGGTTTTTGTAAATTTGGATGCGCGCGCGCGTGTGTGTGTGTGTGTGTGTGTATGTGTGTGTGTGAGTCTGTGTGTGTGTGTGTGTGTGTGTGTGTGTGTGTGTGTGTGTGTATGCGCACGTGTCAGATAGGGAGAGAAGAAGGAGAAAGTGATGGACTAAGAAAAAGGCAGAGAGAGGGAGAAAGGAGGAGGAAGACATAGAGAGAGAGATAGTTTGACACAAAGAGAGAGAGATAGATAGATAGATAGATAGATAGATAGAGAGAGAGAGAGAGAGAGAGAGAGAGAGAGAGAGAGAGAGAGAGAAGAGAGAGAGGATGAGAAAGACAGAGAGACAGAAAGCGAGAGAGAGAAAGAGAGAGAGAGAGTGATGTGTGTATATATGCTCTCTCTCTCTCTATATATATATATCGAAAGATCAAGAGAAAGAGAGACGAAATGTAATCTTTGTTGGTATCAGACTCGAGCGTAGTGGTGGCGACGATGGCTTGAACCCCTAACCATTCAAGCTGCTCTCCCGACTCTCTGAGTCTTTTGGGGAGTTGTTGTTTGTTTGGTTTTTTTTACTCTCAGCCCTCCGCCCTGATGCTTTTAAGTGAAAGGCGTTAAGATTGCAGCTTCAGTTTTCTGTTGTTACTTTTTAAAATAAAAAGCTGAGAGTGAAGGTGCTCTGCAATATTAACTGGGAATGAAAAGCTAGGACAGAAGCAGCTGCTGTTCAGACCGAAAGGGCTCGGACGCAGATGGATAGGAAAGTCGGACGCTGTTTACTGCTTACTCCTGCTTTTTATATAAGCCAACAAAATCAGTGTGAGCAAAGTCTCAATTAATTTGTAATCACTAGGTAACTTTGTTGTGATTCCAAGAGTTTCAAAGCGTGCTGGTCTGCAAAATATGATTTTAGTATACTTTTTTTCTTATTTTGTTTTTCTGTTTCGTTTTAGTAATTTTGTGATAGCACACCGCCTGTATTTCATGAAGTACTCCTTGTCAAAGGAGCACCCAGAAAGCTATCGATAACGTTCTAATTGAATATTGATTTCTCAATACCTACTCCATTAAAAAAGTGAAACAACGAGTCCCCAAAACGCGTTCATTTGTACGGTTTCTTTAGGCACATCCGCCTCAAACGTGTCAGCTATCCAAAGTATTCCTGAAGGTACAACTTATTACATGAAACAAGCATTTTCCTCCTGTTATATTGTACACAGAACCGTATTTATGCATTGACACGTACTCAATTCATTGAAAATGATAAATAAGCTCATTCCTCTTTTTATTTTTCCGTTTCTTTATTTTTTCATAACCTTTAACAGGAGCGTTATTGTGATGGCAAACTTTCCTAGCGGACTGGCCAGATTCATCACCACGAGTTTACTTTGTCGTAATACGCATTATTATTAAATAAATTGCAAAACTTTTGAAAGACCCTCACATATTCCCCAAAAAGTGATAGCCATGGGTAAAGTGGTTAACTGTAGAATTGCTCGATGCTGCGGTGTACAAATAATAATTTATAACAACAAAAGACGAAGGTAATAGATATATTACGTTCTGTAAGTTATTGTTGCTGCAGAAGGATTTTTTTCTCCTGTCTTGAAGTCAAATATTGTTTTGTGTTACTAGGCAAAAAATATCGATTCCCATTTCCTCCTCAAATAAAATAAATTTGTGCTGGGAGGTATGAAGGAATGGTCAAGCAAACACGCCTTAACGCCACATTTGTGCGAGGGACTCTCTCAATAGCAGGGGCGGCTCGTGGGGCTAAAAAGTGGACGTGCACAATTACGCTATCGCTTGCTGAAGATAGTCAAGGGCATAGTAAATGAGACGGTGTATAATTTTAAGATTTGGGTTGGTGAGGGAGGACCTCGTGCTTTTATTTTCATTCTTTTTACTTGTCGCTTTAATTTCTAGCTCTAAATTTGTTTCTTAGCTAAACATCAATTTCGTTCATCCTGCATTGGAACTGAACACTAAAGTAAAAACTTTCACAACCCCACTACAAAACCATTTAAAGACACAACTCATAGGACGGTCACGTTCACCTCCCTCAGGTTCACGGTCACAGAGTCACTTAAAATAGTGCAAGACAGACAATGCACCCATCACAATTCACTTGAGCACTCCGCTGGATTGCTCCGGCCTCACGTAATATTGGCAAAGAATAGCGTACGGTCTATCGCGTTTATTTTTAGACTGCCAACTATGGGCTATGTTTCGGCACTATTCGGCAGGAGAACATTTGAGATGTGCTGTCTTATTAATATTAATGTGCCTCCAAACTCGCTACGAGTGTCGTCATCGCTTGCTTGGGTTATCCCCAAGAGCGATTGATAGGTCAGGTTACACTGTTGAATATCCTTTTATGTTCAGCTAAAGCGCGTGGACTTTAGCATGGCATAGTAGATGCTTTGCGGCGCTATAGACACAGACATGATAGTTATGGTGCTAGAGAGGACCTTGTTTTGATATAATATTTGGCTAGTGTTTGTTTCTGGCTTTTTAAATTTTATTATTGAGGGGGTTTTACGTAATAGAACATTAAAACATTTGGGCGGCACTGCACGACCGTGCTCTATGGACGAACCTCGCCTGCTCAATAGCCTGCTCCCTCAGCTCTGGAGATTGCTCTGTAAGTTTAAAGATAAGAAAAGATAAGATAAGATAGGGTAAGATAAGATAAGATAAACTTTATTGATCCACGAGGGAAATAATTTGGGGAAGATATGCCAGAACATCAATATACAAAGATTCAGCATCAACGCAGAAATGCTCTCATGTCATTCATGAACAGCAATGCACATAAAACGATGCAAAACTCACACACACGAACGTACCACACAGTGTGCCTGTGTGCATGAGCCCTCGAACCTCACAACACGATGTGCCTCATCATTTCAGATTATGTCAATTATCCAAATGTTTGACAGAATTATAATATTATTGCATCAGCAAAAGCCCAGACATTGATTTGAATAATCTTAGGTCTCTTTGTCTGAATAGAGGAATAGTTATGGTGCAGTTGGTTACGAATTTCGAGAGAAAACAAGAGGACGTTTAAGATTTGAACAGGCAACTGATATAATATGAAACTTTCAGTTAGTTAAAATGTTTCCTTTTGTTCCTCTGTGTTCGGTTCGTTGGAGG